AATACGTGTCATGTCAAACCAAAGACAAATGCCTGACTCACCTTGTTTTAAATTTGCTGAAAACTCAAGCGTTTTGTTTTCGGCAACATGACAGCAAAAACACAGACAGGTAGCTATCAGGGTACATAGACGTATAATATATAGACTGCGCATTCCCTACCTTTGCCATGTTAAGAAAATGTCTTCAACGTGGAGAGAGAGACAGCTGGTGTTGAATAGTAGCCTCACCTTTGTCTAGCAAAGTAGTGGGGAAAATGATAGACAGAGAAAGAGTTACTATTCAAAGTATGTTGTCTCTCTCAACGTTGAAGACATCTTTTCAGCCAAACGCGTAGTCTATATATTATACGTCTATGGCTGCATAAGCTTCATCTTTTTTCGACAACGCTCCCTCCTTTATTTCCATGGCGCGATACGACCTTTCTCAAGGGAATTACAATAATAAATAGATAAGGGCGTTAGCTACAAGGAAACACATATCAAGCTATTCGGCAAAGTCAAGATATTCAAACTGAATTCTCTTTCAGTCGCTTACAATGGTAAATATACAGAATAGGGGAATCTGCACTTTGTCTTTAGTTTTTGGTGCAGTCGCGCCACGTCATTTTACATTAAATATTTTTTATTTTGAATTCCACATGAGTTTTTGACATTTCACACAAATCGAAATCTATANGTATGATTCGACATAGTTTAAGATTTTCCACGCAAGGCGAAGTCATTTCTTACATCAATGAGTGTTTTATATAAAAAGTGCAGTGGTCATACAATATTTGAAACGTTTTATTGATTTAGAATATTTTCTATTTTGCAACGTATAAACAACTTACAAAGTTTTATATATTTTATATATTTTTGTAACCATGTATAAAAGATTTTACTTGGCGTAACTTATTGATATCATTTCTTTTGTAGAATAGATCTTGTAGAGGAAGATTGTGATAGTAATACTTTTTCTAGAGATACGAGTTGCGCATGTACTTGGCGCCTTTTTTTACTTTTTTTTGAAAAGTATATTTATACAGGGTGTCTGTGAAATTTTGACACAACCGAAGTATGGAGATAGAGTGAGTAAATCGAAAAGTTATTTGCCATTTTGCGAAATTCGCAATAGTTATTGTGATATGAATTAATAAATGAGCGCGTGGAAAGCGATGATCCTAACTCTGTAGGCGTGTATGATTGTTAGTATAAGATTAATGGCATACATCTGTATTCGGCGGTTCGTAGCGAAGCGAGCAGCGCTCGAGGGGAGATGAGAAGCCTCTGCTCTCAATGAGACTTATCAAACACTCTGTATATATATGTATATATTCTTTTTCCAAGCGCTTGATTTTATTAAATGCGTGCGATATATACGTATATAGTTATACATATATATAAACTGTATATACACATACACATTAGCCAGAAACAATATTCCGACAGTGTTATAAACTAGAGAGAAGATGTAAAATATATTATTTTAACAATTTTATAAATTAGAACAATGTCATCTTCTGTAACCTCTGCATTCTATTATGAAAAATTTTATTTGCAATCTAAAAAATATGTAAAAAATACGTATTAGAAAACTGTTATTTTCTACGAATTTTATTTTGCAATATAAAAAATATTATCCGTAACATGTATATTTATAAATATCTTATTTTAAAATTTAAAGTTAGCATAATATAACTATAAGTTTTAAATAACTATTATCACTAAAATCTGTTTTATATTCACATATATACTTAAAAAAAAAACTGTAGACTTCCAAAACTCATCTCAGATCCATGGGTATTGCATTTTTGTTGAAAAACCGTTTTCTAACAATAAGGAAAAATATTCTATATTTATTTATATACAATTATATAATTAAAAAAATGTGTGTGTGTGTGTGTGTGTATACATACACACACGTATACATATAAATGCACAAAACATAAATATATATACAGTGCGGAGCACCATATCGTGCGCCGTGAGGAGAAGTAGTTCTCCTCTGGCCGCCTCCTACTACCATGCGCCAGCGGCCCGAGATTTAATCCATATATCGGCACGGTTATCGATGATACATACCGACGCGGTTACCAATAATACCGACAGGCATATGTTACCATAAAATTATCGCGAACATTGAAAAGAGTAACTCTGCATTGAAAGTGACTTCAATAATTTGTATCAAATATTTATTTATTTAATTATTAGCTTTTACGTGATATAAGAAACTTACTTACGGTAAGTGTAAAAAAGTAAAATATATTTAAGTAAGAGAGTAAAAAACCATGACAATAGATAAATGTTATAGTGAACCAATTATTAAAATATTGAGAAAGAAAATTTAACGCTAATTGTACAAATCTATTATAGTTTTATTTTTTATTCTTATTATTAAAATATATTACAAATAATACTGAACGATCAAGTTTCTCTGCCATTATTTACTAAACTCTGCCTCTTGAGCCCACGCCTCTCTGTTATCGTTATAAACTGAGCTGCCGAGTGACCTTGCCATCACGTCGAGATTAATTTGGAGAACCATAATAATTAGTCGAGATTTTGTCGTGTGGCGTGTGAATTCACGCCTGGCGCCCAACTAATAGAATTTGGTGAATAAATTTTGTTTCTGTTGTGTTAAAGACGTGCCGAAGTTGTGCGGCGCCTCCGCCATAACATCTAACGCGACGTGCCCGTCACAATGTATAACTATACCCAGTAAACAATTTGTTCGCAATTTGCCAGCAAATTGTCAGCAATTTTAAGCAAAACTATTCAACAAATTGGCATCAACTGTGTCCGCATTAGGCTTCGATTTTGTTGCCAAAGCTTGTCGACAAAAAGTAACAGCAAATTGCTACCAAAA